TGACAGGCTGCCGTTGTCGCAGGCACCAGGGGGACTCAGACCTTTACACAGTTTCACCCAATTGTAACACAATGCAGACTAAAAAACAGGTGTCCATGGTTAGCTTTATACATGTGTACTTTCTACAATGCAGTATTTATCTTGCAGCCTCTGCAACCTGTACGACACCATAGAAGAATCAGAATCAGAGAGTTTCTGTTTATTGGCCAAGTAGTTTTTTACGCCTACGAGGAATGTGACCTTGTGCAGTTGGTGCATAAAATATACACATATACAAATACAAATATACAAAGGCTCCTGTAACTGATGTTCATGGGTCTTTGAATAACTTTTCTTGTGTAATTTGTTGTTGATCCACAGCTGTTACTTTAGATTGTTAATAAAATCAAGGAATAAATGGACTCTTTGTTGCACAGAAATAACCTTGCGAATATTGACGTATTAACACGTCAGTATTAATCCCAGTCAGCTCCCGCTGAGTGCCAAAGAAACTTTCAGCTCTCAGGCAGCTCTGAATGTTCCACAGCACCAGCACAGAGATGAGTGACATTTTCTATTTCCTGTCTCCCTCTCTGTCTGTCCTCCCCTCTCTGTTTTTTCACCTGTCAGTCGGAGGACCTCGGAGCCTGCGCCCAGTTTGAGGCCAGTCGAAATGCCAGGAATATGATGCCAAGCGCCAGCTGTGGCATTTTCCCAGAATTCACCCTGAGAAAGCCCTCCTCAGAGACCGACATCGAGAACTGGGCATCCAAGCACTTCAACAAACACACACAGGTACTCCAGAGGATGTGTGTACTCTCACTTTTAAATATATTTGCATGGCATCATACACATCACAATGTATCTGTCTCTTTTTCCATTTGTGATTCCAGTACTTCTGTTGGTATTTCTGTCTTTACTATTTTTAAAATGTCATGGAAGGTCTTGAGACAACTTATTCTCATGTGTAGGTGAACTGCAGTGAAAGACATCTCAACATTGCAGCTCATATGTCATACACTGTTTATTAATTAATTTCCACATGTAATGGCAGACATAATAACAGGCTGTTTAACACTGGGTCTGACATTGGGTAACACTATTATCGGAAAAGGGTTAGCTAAATATCAATCAGCTGATTGCATCAGATTTAGCTACTCAAAAAATAATTCATAAGTATAACTCTAAGGCTCATTCTTTTTTTGTAAAGATTTACTTTACAATGCAGTTTCAATATAAAGAACTAAATAATAATAAAAACAATTCTATGTAACATACACATGACTTACATAGTTATTTATGACTTGCCTTGATGAATACCTTCATATTGCTATGTTAAGTATAGGGTAATTTCTCTAAAGGTCAGTCTTTTTTTGCTGTATCAGGGTTTCTGCCGGTTAAATTAAAGAGTTTTTAAGACGATTATGAATGCAATTTAAGACCTATTTTACATCCATACTGGTAAGGAGGTATAAGGATATGAAGGAAAATCATTATTGGTTCCATGTCTATTTTGTAGTTGTTACAGCATGATAAATACACATTTTTACAAAAAACATATTTAAAAGGGGGACTGAAAAATACAATACAAGTAGCAATAACTTAATTAATCTAATCCATTTTTAAGACCCGGCAAAATCATAATTAAGACATTCTAAGGCCTAACATTCTCCACATGCATCTGTAGTGACCACTAGGCTCTGATCTGGGACTGGGACTGAACAGGTTTTCTCACTATTCTGTAACTGTCAAGGTTATAGATTCACTTGCCCAGCACCAGCATCTCAGACCAAAACAAACATACAGACATAAACAAACAAAACTCACCAAAACCATCTTTGTTAGTCTTTCCACAGTCTTATCAAAAATCACCAACTTTGGAGGACTTACTTAATGTTAATCTTTGCAGACAAATGCCCTGTCAAAGTGCATCCACTAAAAGTTGTTGTTTTTGCCACTGACAGGCTCGGATTATTAAGTGTCTGAAACATCCCTACAGAGACAGAACTTTTGTTAAACCAGAAACAGCCATAATATCACTATTACTCTCCACCAGACTCCATAGACAAAAACATAATTTTACCTTGATCATCATAACTGTAACTTCATTAAACATGGACAGAAACAAAAAAACAAACTCACCAAAATTTGAGTTGAAATAAATCCTTAATAATAAGCCTTAATTAGCGACAGAGAGGCTGTCACAGGCAGAGGGAGTGTGACACCATGACTCCACTGTATCTTTACATAAAGAATTGCTGTTTGCTGCTATATTAATGTCTTAAATCTCATATGTATAACCTTCAAAATCTACTGAAACAGGCTAGGTTAATTTGATTTTCCTTTCCAATATACTTATGATATATGATGTTGATATCATGCATCCCTGTTCTATCAAATCTACTCACTCCTACTGTACATACAGTAATCTGTGTTTTGGATTTTATTTTAGCATTAGAAAATTCAAGCAATGTTAGGAGGCGGATAAAAGTGTGAGCTGCCCTCCCTGTATCTCCTCTAACCTTCTCTAGTGTTTTTCTCCATCCCTTGCATGTTTCCTCAGGGTCTGTTCAGAAGAAAGGTGTCCATTGCCAACATGCTGGCCTGGAGCAGTGAGCCTATCAAGAAGCCCATGATTGTGACCTCAGACCGCACCGTGAAGAGGGAAGCAGTGGACATCTTTAAGCTCATCCAGACCTACATGGGAGACCGTCGCTCTAAGGCTGATCCCTTTTCTGTGGCTCTGGAGGTGTGTGCCTGAACCACTGCTCTGTCCCCGCTCAGGGTCTAACCTGGAGATCTCCCTCCTCATGCACCCATGCACAGAAGCTGTTATTATCAGTAACTACTTTATGTCTCACCTTGGTATCCCCCTGTAGTGATTTTACTTTTCTGTGATGGTCTGAACCTGACACTTTCTGACATTTCACATTTTCAGCCATAGGTACATTAGGACTCCAAGCCTAGATGGTAACAACACCTTCCCTTGGCAATATGGAGTCTGTACAGAAATGTTATGCAGTGTGACTTAACCAGGATAACTTGACTCTCCTTCTCTCTGCACCACATCACTGAGGCTGTGTGTCCTTGTTTACAGTGTGACTTTGAGGGGAAGCTTTTAAAACAGCAGGGGCCTCATTTATAAAACTGTGCATACGATCTATACCAAACTTTCTGATTCTGTCCACGCTGGCCTTATATTCTGCCCACTACACTTACACAATTATCCTTAAATGCAAAACCCTTCATAAATATTGATAGACATATTGTTCCTGTGGTGAACGGCAGCGGAACCAAAGAAAGTTTGAGAAGCTTCGCAGCTGTTAATGTCTGTATTTGAAATGTAACAAAGTCTTCAGACTTTGAGGTGCATACCTAGCGCTTTGTGCTTTGCACACTGTCAGAGTATTCCCTGAGAGGGCCAAAACTCAAAACCTAATGGTGGACCAGCAAGCCAAAAGCAAGCTGTTATTTTTTTAAGATCCAAGTTCACCTAATTGATTAAGTCACTCTGGCCGATATTAATTTAAAATACATTTCAATTTTTAAACCCATAGTCATAATGTAACATACATAGTCACTAGGGCTACTCGATTATGGAAAAAATCATAATCACGATTATTTGGGTCAAAATTGAAATCACGATCTATTGAAACGACTTATTTTTTAAACTTCAGAAACATGCTGCATGATTCTGGAATTTTGAAATGGAACATGTGCAAGAATCCTGGGTTCAGGTGAAAAGGAGTGAGGATTTTATATAGTTGTATAATTAATATCAGCGAAAGGTGAGGCAGACCTTCCAGAGGCTGCCTGATGCATCCTGGCTTCAAACTTGACATTTCAGCAACACTACGATGCGCCCCGCAACACCGCAGCCCTATGTGGGCATCATATGCCTCCCACTGCACTTCTAGTTTTTGGGTATGTGGTGATGAGCCACTGTCTGGTGTTCAATAGTTCAATAACCACAGACATTAGACAAGATTAGCATTGGTCTCTAAAATGGAGAGGTGTTTATGGTATAATTATTCTCTTAAGACGCCTGGATGTTTATGATACAGTGGATATATAATTAGTGTTTCGTATAAAAGCTGCCTTCAGTTCACTACTTCACCGTGGGGTGTGTGTGTGTGTGTGT